CCTCAGTGACCTGATCATATTGTGATCAGGTCACTGAGGTAGCCTCTCATACAAAGTTTTTTTGATACCCTTCTCGAGGGTTGTAATAGCGCAGTTCTGCTAGACTTTCTGGTGGGTCTTTAGCTAAAAGTTTGTGTTCGGAACAAATAGATGAGTACCAGAAAAGCGCCTCCTTGGGAAGTTGGCCAGTTGGAGGGTCCGCGGCAGTGATTAGATTAGAATCTAGGCTTTGCATACTTTGGCTTTTTTTGCTCATTCTTTTTCCCTTTTAGTTTAGTGTGTAAGACCTGAACGCATCCATTTACGTCCAAGGGCAGTGGTCAACCGGAAGGCTTGGTGATTCAGCGTTTTGTAGTGTTCTCTGGGCACTCTCGCATATGCACACTATTACAGCATCTCTGCTTTCTTTCCTTCCTTCAAAAGGCTTAGTCCTAGAAAGCAGAAAGTATGTGCTTTTCTGTCTGGACTCTCACACGTTGGTTGACCACTGCCCCGTTACCCATCCTTTGAGGAAATGAACAAGGGTTAAGTTGTTCCCTATGTAGACGCTTCAAAGTTAACCATAATTCTTGTAAGAAAGCAGTGGCAATGTATAGTGAACATGCCTGGACCGTTACTCGAGCAGTGAATTTTTTTTAAGTCTGCATGAACATTTCCGGAAGACTCCACAAACATGATCCACATCTGGTGACACTTACACCCGCTTGACCATATATGACCTATTTTATCATTCAGGACGTTTATGTTGTGGAAGCTGTCATAAATAAACGAAAAGCCAAAGATGGAAAAGTCGAGTATCTACTAAAATGGCAGGTACGTATAGACAAGTTTGTTTACTTGTGAAGAAGAGCTTGAATCATCTTTGAGATGTGTCTCAGAGAGGAAGTTTGTGAAAATAATCACTAGTTGGCTTGATTTGACTGCTTTTTTTTCAGGGATTTCCACTTGAGGAGAGTACTTGGGAACCTGAGGAGAATGTAGCTTGTCACGAGTTGATCGCAGAATTCGAGAGGAAACGGAGCAAGGTAGGATTTCGAGGAGTCGCTATAGTTTTACAATTCTTTTTTCTTCATCGAACAACATGTTATTTGTAGTTTCGTTGTGTTCTGTGTAATCTAGTTTTGTAGTATGAGCAGCTTTGTCATGTCGTATTTTTTATTTTATGTGGAGAAGAAAGAGCCCCAAACCTCTTCGGAAAAGCGTGAGGAGAAGCAGCTCCATCGCATTATTGGCCTTACCGACTCGCCTGGTGAACTGCACTTCTTAATCAAGTGGAAGGACCATACTGCCGATCTCGTACCCGCCAAAGAAGCTAATGTGAAGTCAGTATGGCTCCTAGTTTTGCTCCTACTTTTCTCGTTCTGATTGATGATTGGCTACTTACATTATATTTCTTCCAGGTATCCTCAGGAAGTGATCAGATTCTATGAAGAAAGGCTGAAGATGCAGAATCGCTAATTTGGTTATCTGTGTATCTATTGATCGATCTTTACTTTTCCTAAAATCTTTTCAATACCATTTGAAGCTGATTGTTGCACAAATGTTTAGTAGTGAGTTGGTTTTCAGTAGAAGCGATCTCACGGTGTATAATTTCTATGTTTTCAAACATGTAGCTTTCGCACACCCCATTTTCTTGGTTATTACTTCAATAATCTACTGGTCAATCATCCAATGAAGTTTGTTTTCAAGGTTATGTGCATCAGTAGTAATGAAAAAGTAATAGTCTGATGTCGGGGACTAGGCTAAGCTAAGGAGCTTGTGACCATTTCGTTCAAGCAACTTTGTGGAAGTTGAAAAGGTAGTGATGCCGAAGAGAGGTTCGCTGTTGACGATTCCGGGGAAAACAACAAATGAATTAAACCATACAAAATTCGAACATTGTCATTTCTTGAGATGTATTCCATTTGAGAATGGAGACGCTTCGACGTTAGTTGAGGCCGCAGTCAAGAAGTGAGAAATGAAAATATTCATTCCCATTTAACCTCCCTTTCATAAAACGAGAGCGTCGGGGGGCTGCGAGATACACCGCAAGTGACGACGGCCTCCAAGTAAACTTGGTTAGTAGTGGTGATAGCTTATTTTTGGTAAATAATAGTTGTAATTAGTGATAACTGACAGAGTACAACTGCAAGGGGCTGATCATATCATTGGCAGAAAACGTTTAGATTTGTGGAGGCCGGTCGTAACAGTGTGGCTAGTATCTGCAACCCGAACAGTTTCTGTTTTTACGGGAGACGGGGATGCTCATTTTTGTACGCTCTTGAATGGAAACGAAAGCAGGCTATTGATGAAAATAGTCAAGGAATAATCGTAGGTCAACTTATTGCGCTCCGTAAAGTCGCACAAATGGGATTATTGTCTAATCTTACGATTAGTAGTCATTTCCATAAAGAAACAATGGCTCTTATAATGAGATTGAGAATAAAAACAAATACACTCACAATAAATAAACATAATACGTAAGGAGCAAGCGCGTTAAAACAATTCAAACATCCTGCTGTAGGAATCTTTCCACGTCCCATTCCAGGATCTCGACATTCGGGAACATCCCAGCAATATTGCGCCTGTTTCCTGGAGTTGTAATGATCCTCGTTAGCGTTGGCACTACAAGGGCGCCAATATCGGGTAGTTCGCATTTCGAGGAATCAATGATTTGAGCTGAAACAATGGATTCTTACGGTCAAAACGATCCAAAATAATTATAGTATTAGGCATGCAATTGATTTTGATCACGAGGCTTGTCCTGCCATGCCATCCATACTGATCGTAACTATTTTACAACTACGAAAATGGGCGTGGCCTCCTCTTTCCCCCTCTCCTTCACTTCGAATAACCATTTCACTGGGAAGGACAGAGCGGTAACGTACACGAGGTTTCATTTTGGTTACTGCGCGATAAGGCTCGATGTCAGACTTTGCGAATCGCGCGATTCGCTACTAGCGATTCGCGCGATTCGCTAGCGTCCGCGGTCGCGTTGCGGTACCAGCCAATTGAGTGATTCACTGGCCGCGACGCGACCGCAGACGCTAGCGAATCGCGCGATTCGCAAAGTCTGACATCGGCCTAAGCGATGTATAGTTGGCGGATCTGAGGCGGAAGGGACCAGCCACAATTGCTCACACCATCGTCGAAGCGCCTATTGTACGCCTTGGGCCGACGTCATAGTTTGCAAATCGAGCGATTCGCTAGCTAATCGCTGGATCCGAGTGTTGCGCAGCGAATCGAACGTTGCATCAAAAATCAACTGGTTGGAACCAGTGGTCCACGATATATCAGCGACTCATAGCTGGCGGTGTAAAGGAGGCGCTACTTTATGACGATGTACGTGACAGTGGATTTTTGCAGTGGCCGGCTTTCCTTTGAGACGTTGGTCGCCAGCTATGTCGCTAGGTACATAGGGGTCAGATCGTGTGGTAGCAACGTTCGATTTGCTGGCGCCAACGCTCTGAATTCGCTGTGCGCAACACCTCGGATCCAGCGATTCGCTCGATTCGAAACCTTATGACGAAATGGGCCTGAAGCGAACAATAGGCGGCTTCGGCGATGGTGTGAGAGGCAACCGCGGCTGTCCCGCATCTCATTTAATACTCGCCCACAATGATTGCATTTCGCCTTTTTCCTTTTTATCCTGTCGAAAGTCATCTGGGACCTTAGCTGAATTCTGCTTTATACGTTGATTCCTACGGGCTTGGCACAAACAGATGGCGCGGCAGGTAAGTGCAACGCTTCAAGTTAGTGAAGATAAGTTGGGCTGGACCCTTGATGTAACACAGAAACAAGAAACTTGTGCTACCACAATGCCCAGGTTGCGCTCAAATGCATGATATCGCATCAATCTACTTTTACTAGCTTGAGATTACTACGCAGTGACCAGTACAAGCACTCTGATCCTCTATAATAGCAAGTATGTGAGCGGGGTGGTTTAGTGGCAAAGGGCGCTGGCGTCCGGGGATCAAGTTCTGGTCTGAATCTCGATGAGGACAACCTAGCCTTCTATCCTTAGGGGTTAATCAGCTGATAGGGAGCTGTCACGTAAGATGTACCCTCGTAAGTTTGGCTAGCTCTGCATGTCTGTATTAGAACAGGCATTGGCCACGTACGATTCAATGGAATAGAATGCGTGGGGCATCCCGAAAGGGATAACGATTGCATCATGACTTGAATCCGTTGATGTGATCATTTGAGTCTGGCAAACCCTAGGTGAAAATTTATTATTTGGACCATAGATAGCCAGTAACTGGGTGACGCTTAGTTTGTGATTATGGAGGGAAATGGTCCCAGTTAGCGAAATGAGTTCGTATTCATGAAAGGGAAGGGGTATTTTCCCGAAAAAATCTTGTTTTGGGATTCGCTACAAGGAGTGATGAGACGCAAGGGCAGATGCAAAAAACGAAACGTGACGGGCTTCAAGATGCATGTGGGGAAGGTTGGAAAAAACGAAATTCGGATGTAGTGGGGCATTCTTCGAACAGTATGCGAACTAGGCGACTGTTCAAAGCACGGGACGATAAACTTGCAATAAGCTCTGCCAACCTTCAAACTTTGGTTGATGGAAATGCGGGCAGGCGTGATGGATCTGGAGGTTATGAGCTGCCTTCGACACTGAAAAAAGATATCAGCGCCACTGGCCGTTTTTCATCTCCCTTGTAATCGGTGCAATTTAATTTTTTGGGTTATTTGCGATTGCAAGCTGCTCAAATCCGACTACTGAAATTCGCACTTTCCGCGATCTAACTAATTACATACCTCTTAACGGGGGTCATTTCAAAACTGAGAGAGCAAAAACCGATGGTGACGTCAGGAGCCGACTATGTCTCAAGCTACTCTTGGTGGTCGTATTCTATCTCTTATCGATCTGATCTCTGCCTAACTACCTCCAAAGAACCCTTCTAAGGTCGAACCAGATATGAGATGTAAAACAGTAAAAGAAGCGATAGGACATCAGAACCCTTACAAGTTCCAAACGAGAAAAATGCTCAGGTGGTGAACCGATACTACACCCCTCCCCCTCCCAGAACTCCCAATTATCTACCTTCTACCTTCTTATCCATGTTCTCGTCGCGCAGCACCTACATACTACATACATAGGTATAAGGGTGCCATTGTTTGTCACTGCTTAGAGGAGCAGAATTGCCTCAGGGTCGGTAGGTCACCTATTCCTTGAAGTGGAGAAATTTTCAAACCACAGGAGATAGAGATTGGGAAGGGTATCGGGTGTTCTAGCTTGAAGAAGTTTTCTTATATGTAAAAATTAGGGTACCGTTGAAAGAGTCTTCCCAGACAGCCATACTGCTACACATCCGACCAATCCGAGTGATGTCTGAGGATGAGGTAGCGACAGACAGTCGGTTGTCACCAGCGATCCGAGTTCTTGAGCAGCTATCAATAATTGCTTCGTGGTTACGGTGCGTAAACTCAAACTGGGTTCCTGAAATGAGAATCTATGGGAGGAAGTCTGACCAATGCTGCGTTGAAACTAAGCTGGCTGTGGTTCCCGAACGTGATTAGGTTAACCCAGGCTTAGTGCCAGCAAGCTAGGGACGCTGAAGGGCGCCATGAATTTTGTAGAAGAGCAGAGGATGACCTATTGCCTTATTGCTAGCTTTCTACAAATGTACTTTAAAGGCTGTGACCATGATGGCTGGAGGGCGGTGCGACCATTGAACGTCATTGGTGGAAAAGGGCGGCCCCAGCAGCACCCCCTTAGCGGCTGAAGACCGTCGCCGAGTGTGAACGGGGGTCGGAAGGATTCAGCCCGCCAGTGACGTTCATCGCCGTCATCAAAACCGCACCGCCCTTCAGCCATCGTGATCAGTGGCTTGAAATGGCTTGTACCATTCCGGGAAGAATCGCGAAGGGATGATTGCCATCTAGCCACACGGGATCGCACTCAGTACCCGCTTTGATGATCTCCTTCCTCCATTCGACATCGATTTCATCATTCAGCTCAAACTGAATGCGAAAAATGAAGTTGAAAACACATCTAACGTACAAATATTCAAGATACCGATATTTTATAGCAGGGCCGTTTACCGGATACACCTCGTCCGGGGGTGGAACGCCTTTATTCGGTGCCTGTGTGACGAATGACCAAGATTCGCTTGATCGACGTTATCTGGAAAACGACGAGATTTATTAGGTCAATAAGTAACGCTAGGGGAAGGCCGATAAATGGGTTTGTTTGGATGCGGTCAAGTTTCCATAGAAGAAAAGGGCGCGTGAGAAAAGGAAGCTAAGTCACCCATAGAAGTTTCAAAAAATCCGTTCCCACATTTGTTCAGAACCGAAGCACTGACATTCACGGGGAGTAGTTTGAGTTCGCAAGCAACAAACCTATAGAAGTCTCATTGAACGGTAGCCTTTCCACGTGATTATGGGGCATTGATAGTCAGATCCATGGGGTTGCCACAAATTACGGTAGCAAGATAATGTGATCACAGGAAATTTATACAGCCCGTATAAAAGCAATCGCGGAAAAGCTATATTAATTGAAGGTTAGTACCGCAAAAAAAAAGCAGGGTTTACACCCCAAATTGCCTATTGGTGAGTTGAAAATTCAAGACAGGAAGCAAAGTAAGTGCTGAGTATCCAATTCACACGCGCGTGTTCCGATGTCATAACGGGGAATTCATCTTAGGTGGGCACATTAAAAATTTGGCCTTTTTACGGCTTGTGGGGCCTTCCTTCAAGAGATTCTTGTGATGCTCCAAAAACTACCGTAAAATGTACTCAGTGTTGGTCCTATAACATGCATGCGGCAGCTCTTTTACCGTAATTTGTGGCCACCCTGCATAAGAGTGGACGGAACGCGAACGCATGCGTCTTACTTGATCCACCTCTTGGAATGAATTACGGGTGTTTCTTACTTTAAGATCTAGAGAGTGATACGAGTGTTGTAAGCCCTTTATAGGCAACGAAGCTGATGTCAGTTCCCTCGTGAATAAAATCAAGTACAAAAGACGTCGCCACCTTGCCCACCTGTGCCTTGCTGACAGCCTCGTCCAAACGCTGTTTAGTTCTCGATCAGATCATGTCCTTGCCAAAATGCGTCCACAGTGACGATCAGCTTCGGACAGGTTTCTTTGATAAGCTCCGTCAATTGTGACGTCGTTGTTGTCACGGGATTCTGAAGAAAACGCTACTAACACGGAATTATTGACTTTTTTATTGGGTTATTCTAAGTCCATCACGGATTCGTTATAAACGCTCAAAGTTCTGGTGTTTTGGCTAACTTTAAAGGGTTTGAGGAATTCCTTGGTGCTTCAAACCGGTAAACTGAAGTCGAGAAAAAGTACATTTTTTGGAATTTTTGTTCAGGAAGAGCTTTGACCTGAGAAATTCTACTATTCGATGCAAGCCGAGACGAGATGCTGTTCATTGTAGCATTTGAATGTACACTCACAAGGATTACGGAAACGGCTCCGATTCGGCTCGCACCCATCAAGCACAGTGGCAGTTGAATGACGTTGTGAAGAAAGAGTAGTATGGGTCATTCTGCAAACAGTTCAACCTAGTAATGAGACCAATTGCCGATGTTTTGGCTTCTTTCACCATATTCATTCTTAGTTGGAAGCGCATTCTGCAGTCGAGGGACCTGATTATTTCGCTCGGGAATAAAAAGCAGGTCATTTTTCTCTTTAGCGGAGAATGGAAGTGAAGCAGTTCTGTACCAAATCGCCCTTATCGGGCTTAAAGGCACAACCCAGGATGGGTCTGATTCTTGAATCTTGTTGGTGAGTAAGATAGAGCTGCCCATGGAGGTGGCAGATGTCCCGTTTCTCCGCCACCAAAGTACGCAGGAAGGGCACTAGGTCCTTGCAAAGATCGCTTGGACCGCTCCAATTTTTCTCGTTCCGCAGACATAAAGGATAAAGGATAAAGCATTTGCCGTTGATCAATCCCTTTTTGGGATGCGGCACGCATTCTACTTCCATTTGTACATTCGCAGTGGCATTTGAATGCGATGTGGCCTATACAATGACTTGCGGGGGCCAGCCGATGTTCAAGTCAGTGTTTTTATCCTCCCAGACAAGTCTGGTACCAATTAACCGACCCCGGAGGGATGGAAGGCTTGGTTGGCCCGGGCGACTCACGACCCAGGATTGATCCCCGGACCGCTCGCGTGGTGAGCGCGCCACTTGTCACACACACCACTTCCGCCCTTGATTGATCAATTCGTGTAACATATGCGTGACGAATGTCTTGCTCATTATGCTCTCTCGCCTAAGCTTGCCGTTGTAATTCATCTAAATTATACAAAATTGGAACAAAAACCCTCATAGTCAGCCGTTTTCGACGATTAATTTTTCATTCTTTCCTTCTCTGGCCCACTTCGCACCTTCATACGTTCTACCAGTTTTGGCTTCGCCCCGCTGTCCGCGCCGCATCACAGCGGCCAGCTTTAGCATTGGAGAGACCCATAGGAATATCAGCACTCGAGAATACCCCATTAACCGATCTCACTATTGACTACCTACCAGTTTAGCTCCGCCCGCTACCGCGCGCATGACACGGAAGCCTCTGACAAAACTGACAATCGGTGAAGCTTTGGGTTTCACCGCTTAACTATAGCTGCTTCGTTAAATGCATTACTGTCCGTTGCCCATCTTGGCTGTATCTCACTGTTTGATAAGCGCAGTGAAGTGCACAGCTAAAGTGATGTATGTAAACAACCACCATGCATCGAGTATCGAGGTAATTTAGCGGTCGAATAATTTTTGATGATCTCAAGACGGAATGCCCAGTATTCACTATCATATTTATTCGAGCATCCCATTCATCCTCAAGAACTCTAGAAGGTGTAGCGGTCGAAAGGTGTTTGAGTTTACAATTATAACGCTAATGAAATGATATTGAAATAAAATGCACTATCTGCAATCTGGTTTCGAGTGATCTCTACGTTCGTACGCATATCATTACTATTAGTCCTCAGCTGTCGTTATCACTTTTTGAAAACCACAAAATATGTTACCGTCCCACCCCCATATCATGTCCCAAAATCAGTTCCTGACGACTGCTGCGAAGCGCACTATATATTTCGTGAAATTTGTGTTTCAGCGCCTCTTATCTGCTCTTATCAGTCGTTATCACTTTGTAACCCCCACCAAATATGTTACCGCCCACCCACTATATCATATCAAAAAATCAGCTCCTAACGACTGCTGCGACGCGTGCTATGAATTTCGTGACACACGCACACACACACACACACGTACAGACAGACATAGCGTTTTATATATAGTATCTTATAGTGACTATGTTAGACCCCTCCACAGTTTCACTGAAGCTCATCGAGAATACGCGTGATAACGTCTGGAGCTGAACTGGCATATTTATCTCACAACTGTAAACATCCAGCATTCTTCTTGAATTCAGATAATTTAGCGGTGAATAGGATTTTCCTTGTCGTCAGTCTCAAATGAAAATGAAATATGCCTATTTACATAAGTGAGGAGCTGATGCTTATCATTCATTTACATTCACCATTATTTAGAACCCCGAAAGGATTAGCGGTTTAATGAGTTTGGGTTTTCTTAATAGTCAGAAATGAAACTTATCATTTGCTGAAGACTTGTTTTAATTTATGCAGTCGAATTCTATTAAGTAAGCTGGATATATATCGAAATAATGTGCACGTACCTTTGTTTGTACTACTACGACTTACTACAATTTGTAAGTAGGAACGCTCTAGTGTCAACGCTGCGTAACGGAACTAACGACTTTTGCGTTCTGACGCGCCTTATCGGCCCTTATCAATCGTTATCAGTTTCTGGCACCCACCAACAATGTCCCGTCCCACCCACATAACACTTGTAAGTATGGTTGCTCTGGTGTCAACGCGAGCCAGGCAACGGAATCGACGACTTCAGCGTTCTGGCGCGCCTTATCGGCCCTTATCAATCGTTATCAGTTTCTGGCACCCACCAACAATGTCCCCGTCCCACCCCACATAACACTTGTAAGTATGGTTGCTCTGGTGTCAACGCGAGCCAGGCAACGGAATCGACGACTTCAGCGTTCTGGCGCGCCTTATCGGCCCTTATCAATCGTTATCAGTTTCTGGCACCCACCAACAATGTCCCCGTCCCACCCCACATAACACTTGTAAGTATGGTTGCTCTGGTGTCAACGCGAGCCAGGCAACGGAATCGACGACTTTTGCGTTCTAGCGCATCTTATCAGCCATTATCAGTTGCTATCGCTTCCAATCATGTACCACCAATGTCCCGGGACCGCCCCACATAACACTTGTAAGTATAGACGCTCTAGTACCAATATGAACGACAAAACGAAATTGGCGATGCTCGCTTTCTAGCCCCTCTTATCAGCTATTATCAGTCGTTATCAGTTCCTATCACGTACCACTTGTGTCCCCATCCCACCCCCTATAACATATGTAAGAACCACTGCGCTATCGTTACTGTGACTCGAGCTATGAATTTCCGGTCAAACATACACACACACACACACACACACACACACACCAACAGACACACGCTAGCCGCTTATATATAGTAGGATATTCTTCGCGGCATAGAGCACCACCGGCCCGGTTTGCTCTCCTGGCATCGCCTTCAAAAGAGCTTGCTTGTGGTCAGTTTATGATCGGCAGAGTGATTAGGAATCCTAGATATGAAAAACATTAAGAAATTAGGAGTGATTGAACGGTACTTGTTGGCCGCATGACAATTATTGCTGTCATAACCACTAGAAGAAGGATAAGGTGATAAAACCTGAATGAAAAAATTTCAAGATCTAGCACTCCGCCGAACCACAGCAATCTTTGAAGACGTTGCTATTTTGTTCGTCAGAACCTCGACCACATCCCACGACAAGTCGGCATAGTCATGAACGCCGTCGTCCCAGAAGTTGCCGTCCCTTTAATACAAAATAAGATCGGAGGATAAGGCGGTTTATCCCTAGTATTGACGTACCACAGCAGCGCTGTTTCATGCTTGAAATCCGGTTGAGACATATGGCGATCAACGCAGTTGTACGAAACGTTAGTGGTTGGCTGGAAACGATTTGTCATCTATAGGAAATAATCCAAGATCAAAAATCCTCAAAAACCCGTGGTATGCCTGTCCGATTTACATTCTTCGCGTTAATAATTTAGGGTCATGCGAAGATTTCCTAGATGCTAGTGGGATTTGTGGATTATTGATACTCTTCTCCTTAGTTGTTAGTCCCGCACGGTCGTAGAGCCAGTGGTAATTTGGAGATGTGATGAACAGAATTGGTCACCAGCACCAATTATCGGATGATCTCATTTTTGATGAGGATCAGTGTGTGCCACTACAATGCGGCTTTTAGTGAAACAGGCCTTTTTATGGAATATTCGTAATATATCCCGTGTACCACCCTCGTCTCTAGGTTCTATTCGCTTTTTCTTATTTCTCAAACTATACCCGACTTTTCTCAAAAATGTCCTTGTTTTCTAAAAATATCCCAAATCTGATCGTCATCGCAGATCGAGCCTATGTTGTCCCATATCTTCATGTACACCATTGTAGTTATAGATGCAAATTCAGTAACCCTTCTTGGGCAGGTGTCAGACTTTGTTGACTAATTCCCAGGCGATTCGATGGGTATGAAGAGACGTTCAACCGCTGGCGCGTCGCTGAAATGCTGGCGCTCTGCTCGAACACGTCCAATCGTCAGCAAATAGCGCGATTTTTGAACTAGCCGATTGGCTCAGATACACTTGCCTCACGGTCATTGGAGTTTATATTGCTCAGCCGATAAATCATCTAGAGCACGTGAAGGGACATCGTTGGCATCTTCACTTGTCTATAATTGGCGCCCACTCATTTAGGCCCGTCCAAAAAATCGAGCTGAGACGCTTAGGGACGGCAACTAACGAACCTGTCAGCACCGACATCAACAGCTCACGGCCGCCATGGGAATAGGAAGAATTAAACAAATAGATGCCCAAATTCGATTTGTGCTGAGACTCTGATGATCAATTACTTTCGTAACCCTTCTCCGTTAGCGTAGAGAAATGGGCCCGGCGCTACGATCAGTCCCCCTCCCCTGCCCCCCCAAAACCCCCCCACAGAGCGTTCCGTGCGGCCCCTCTTCCCCTTCCCCATCTCCTAATGACCAATCGTGCGAATAGTTCGTTGGACGAAATCTCAATGCCACACTCTAACTCCACCCCTAAAGTGACTGCCTCATGCTCGGATAGCAAATTTTACGTCTTACCCATGTATTTTCCCACTTACCTATTGCAACTTTCACCTAACCCAAAATCTCAAATTCGTCCCTTTAGTCTCAGCGAGGTAAATATGACCTTCGGGCCAAGAAATCATGACTCCTGTTTACCCTTCTCGTATAACTTGTCACTAATTCCATCCCAGCTGGTGAAAATATGATGCTCCTTAGAAACCGACTGTCGGATCGTTCCTATAGCTCCCGGACTGGGCCATCATTTTACATGCAATCAAAAGAGGACGTCGGTTCTCCACTTGTCCACCCTCAATATCTTTTGGAT